GTTAATGGCATAAGAAATATCTAAACGAGTTAATGTGACATATTGCAAAGCACTTACCACTTAACGATATAGAGTAGTGTTTTTAAATACAAATCTATCATGGGTTGTCAATTTTGACATGGTTGGAATAGGTGTAGAAACTGGATGATAAGAAAGCATGCCATGTTTAGAAAAAATATCAATAATATACTTCTTTTGAGAGAGAGCAATACCTAGTGGTGTTTGAACAACCTCAACACTCAATAAGAAATTGAAGTCCCCTAGATTGCGAGTGGCAAATCGAGATTCATAACTCGTTATCACCGATTATAGAAAGGAACAATTGTTATTAATGATTAAGTTATCATCAACATAAAGAAGGAAAACTTTATAATTGTTCATATGATAAACATATAAAAGGGAGTCGATCCATGAGCTAAAAAATATGAAAGCTAGGCAAAAGTCTTGCAAACAAGATAACCGAGCCCTTGGTGATTTTTTTAAGCCATTAAGTGATTTGTGTAGTTTGCATACATAGTGAGGGAATCGATTGTCAAAAAATCCATCGAGTTATGACATAAAAACATCTTCAACAAGATTCCCATTGAGAAAGACATTATGGACATCTAATTGGTGCATCCTTTAACTATAAGAGATAGTCAAAGCAAGTACACATCAAATAGTTGAAGGTTTAACCACTAGAATGAACATTTTTCCATAGTCGATGCCCTTCGTTGATGATAGCCTTGAGCAATCATCTTTGCTTTATACCTTTCAATATTTTCATTTATCTTTTTCTTTGTTCTAAAACTCATTTATTTCTTATAACATTCATTGAAGCATTAGAGGTACCATGCTCCAAGTACGATTTTATAAAAAAGAATTAAATTTAGTATTCGTGTTCGAATACCACTATATATATTTCTTTACTTCGGAGAAACAAGAAGGAGTTTCTAGAATTTATCTAAGAGAGACAACCAAAGATATAGATGGCTTAGATAATGGACCCACAGGGTGTAGCATTATAGGGTGAGTTTTTTGAGGTTCCTAAATAGGTTGTAATTGTGTATTTGGGTTTTGAGGTGCCAAATCATATTAACGAAGATCTAAGACTAAGATTAAGCTAGACGGTACAAAGCGAGGAGTTGTTATAAGAGGAAAAAGAGAGAATGGTAGACGATGTTTTGGAAGGGCTAGTCATGTTATATTTATGTATGATTAAGGAAATAGAGGTTTGGTGTAGTGTATGAAGAAGAAGAAGAAGTCTGCTGCTCTTATAAGCGTAAAAGAGCAACAAGGGAAGAGATGATTGGATCGACATAGGTCTAGTGTTATAGAGATTATGTAAGAGAGGGAAAGTCCGAAAGCACATGGGATTGTGTTTGTGTTTGTGTTTGGGCGGTAGGGCGTATTTGGTAGTGGGCTTGCTTGGTATTAGCTAAAGTGTGAGCAAGTAAGTTAGGGCTCGAGCTCGGACTCTTGAGTGAGGACTTGGCATGGAGACCTAATATCTTACAAAAAGAAAAAGACTTAAGGTATGTGAGCAAGGACTAACTCTGTGAGTGTTGATGACCTACGGATAAAATATTTGCAAAACAAAATAGACATTGAACTAGAATACTTACCCATGGTGAAACAGAATGTTTGAGACGGTTGGTGGATGCATATATATTTTTTAGCATATGGAAAAATACTTTCGACAAAACATACATGAGAGACAATGTAAAAATGATTTATAATTTGGTCAATATATCAATACCCTAAATGAGATGGACTATAGCTAAGAAAAAACACAAAGAATGGACCAAAAAAATCCTTTTTATTTTTATTATAAGGATGTGAATAAAGGAAGCAAAGATGATTAAATATTTTTAAAAATAAATATTCTAGTTTCCTATGAAAAACCACTTCAAATAGGGATTTATTTCTACAAACAATGGCGGACGATTAATGAGAAATACTATAGTTTCAAAAAAAAAATCCATTTTATTTTTATTATACAATGAATTATACCAATTGAACAAAAAAAAAATGTTTACACAATAAAATTCCCTATCTCAATTAGTTTGAATTTTTTTTATCTTATAATTAAATTGAAGTTCAATCTTTTTTTAGAAATGAATAAAAGTATCAAAGATATCCAATTTTTTACATAACGAAAAATACCAAATATGTTACGAAAAGTGATATATGGATATTAGGTAATATTTGTGACCATCAATTGAGGCACTAGGAGAAGTTTCTCATACATCACTAAAAAATAAATTTAAAAATCCGAGTACTTAAATTAGTAGAATAAGATAACGACAAACGACTTGTTTTTTTCTAATGGACAAGATAAGCAAGGGCTAAAAAATTTGATAGAAGATGATAAACCATGATTTTTCAAAATATAAGCTAGTACTCATTCATGTGGATGAACCAATCTAGAGTGTCAAATATTTCGAGAAGCATGGATAGAGTAAGCTTAAGGATTTGACGGATTCGATGAAAGAGATAGAAAATAGAGGTCGGCATCACTCGGGCTTGAAAGAAGAGGAATCATATGCATCCGATCCTTTAATTTAGACATAAAGAAAAGAGGTTAAACTTCTAAAATAAATTGTTATCTCATGCAAGTCTTTTAACGAGATAGTAAAGAACTAGTTATTTTTATGGAACATATAGAACATCAAATCATTTTAAAGTTTTAGAAGAAGTGTGAATATGACTTGAACCAATATGCTTGAATAGATAAATACCCAATATTACCACCTTGTAATTGATAAGGCTCATAAGTGCCAAGGCTTGCCAAATCAAGGGTCACATGGTGAGACGTAATTGCGTCAACACTCCATGAATGAGAATTTGAAGTAGAGGAAGAGAAAGCCCAAATATTTATAGATGGATGAAAAGTTTGCAACCTACATTATGGGCAATATATTACCATGTAATTACAAGAAAAACAAATCGACATTTGTTTCTATGCTTATTTTAAGGCTAATTGCCCTAATTTCAACATCAAAATTGGGAACTTACCTACTATAATTTCAGCCACGCTTCTCCCATGGAAAGATCAACCCCTGCCATGATTAGGACTCGCCTAGATGCTTTGTAGGAAATCTTGAAGCCTTGTAAATCAGATTGGTAGCTAATGGAGTAGGTAACAAAGCAAGACTTAGTGCGAAGGAGAGAAATCGGAGGATTCATGGAATAAAAACTCATGACTAAGAAGAAAACTGTGGAGATCGGAAAAGTTGATCGATTATGATCGTGGATAGTGTAGTGACAATATCCTTAAAGTCTCTAAATAAGTCTTTGAACACATATAACTTGAAATAAATTTACGAAAAAGGAAACCAAAGCTGCACCGAGTTCATCACTCGTAGAATTTTACACGTTGTAGGTATTGAGAAACATGTTCACTAGGCTCTTGGTGTAATTTTTATTGAGAAAGGTGCAAGGTCATAAGTCATGTTCTAGAAAGAGAGGCAAGAGCACGCTCAAGGATTGACCACACTTCCCAAGATGTGGTGCAATCAATAATCATTGAAAGAATCTCGGTAAAGAGAGAGGAAAGGAGATAAGAGTGCTCATAAGCAAGCGATTCTACTGGACCCAAGCGAGATGATGTGGATTGGCACGAGATATGTAAATTTCGATTGTGAGAATCGACTAAAGGGAATGGATTGGATCCATCAATGAAACCAAAAAGGCCTTGTCTAAAAAGGAATGGTTTCATCTTAACACATCATAGCAAAAAATTAGTGTTGGTAAGTTTTAAAGAGATGAAATGGTGAACATGAGTTAGTCGACTCGAGTAGGGGTGGGTTATGTGTGACCTGTGATGGTGTGTAAGTAGATGAAGAAGTATTAGTATAGGAAGCTATGGATGGTTTATAAGGTAGGAGAAAGGAAATGATCTCGGCTAGAACAAAAAAAAAAAAAAGGAACGATAATGTTGTATTTTAAGGCTCGATGCCAAGTTGAAACATAGATTAAAGATGTGAATGAATAATATTTCAACCGTATATTATTCAAAAGTTAAACTATCATTTTATAGTATTACAAGTAATAAGTTTTTAGGACTCTAGATAATTACAAACTAGCTAACTATTTACAAACACCGATAAAAGTTATAGTTCATATTTCTTTACAAAACATTATCTAAAGAGAACAAGAAGTTGTTGAGAAGTCTACTAGGAGAAGACATGATGGTTGAGATTGGAGGACAAATCGTAGCAGGAGACTAGGTTGTAGCTGACTTCTTTGAATCGTGTCTTTAAAAAAAAAAAAAACCGGTACCCACAAAAAATAATAAGAATATTTCTTCTTCTTTTTTTTTTTTTTTTTAATTTTTGCTATTTGTGTCTATCTTTGTCATAAAATAAATACTGTTAGTTGCTTCATTGGCCCTGATGTAACATTATTATTATTATTCAGTCAGTAACATTAGCAGGAGCAGGTAAGGGTACGTTGACATTTTAACTCCACTGCACCCAACTCCTGGCAAATAGATTTAGCAAACAAATAATTACGTTTTCTTTTTATCATTGAGTCAATCATCATGAGTCAGCCCATACCCATAACCCAACAGGGTGGCACGTCGTATATTATCATTGAGAATCGAAAGAAAACAAAGCAGTTCTATCAGCTAAGAAATTCAATCTCAGAAAAACATTCACCATAAAATTTCAGTACAGGGTTGTTGGCTTCTTGGAACAGAAAATCACCGCAATCCTACGACAGACAATCAGATTTAAATAAACCCTTGGTAGTTGAGGAGTTAAATTTGATAAAAACTTTCAAGGATTAGTTATTAAGGAACAAAAGTGCTATTATTGACTGACTGACACAAGATTGAAATGCAAGGGCCTACTAGAAAATCAAATGCATGAAAACAGAAGCTCATGATGCTCTAAAATGCTATAAAGTCTTATTGCAATTGTTGATGGAGTTGTATAATCAATACAACGGTACAGGCCCTGATGTATTTATTGAAGATGATAACCTGTAAGCGATGGAGCTTTTCAGTTTTCTAGTTATTCCAATCTATCCGAGTCTGCAGAGTTGCAGATGCCAGGGGCGAATAGGGGAAGACATGTTTTCTCCATTTTCTGAGTGCGACACCAACCAGGTTCTTGAATCTTTTCAGAAAATCATGGAGTTTTGTACTGCAGTTATACAATGATCATGCAACTAAACTCATAATCGCAACAAAGATTGCAACAATGAAATAAATATACAGATAAAAAAAAAAAAAAAAAAAATCTATATCTAACCCGAGGAAAAGAAAAAAAGAAAAACATCCAAGAAAAAATGGAAGTTAGAAGCCTATTAACGACAAACCTGATCTTTTCCCTCTTTAGTGAGTGTATCTACATAAACCTGTGATTTTTCCTTCAAACGCATTGTAGTAAACTAGTCGAGAACCCTCAATGCTCTCTTTATTATTTACTAGTGCTTTTGTTACCAAAAGAATAAACAAATGAAGCTATTTTTGTAAAAACGACAGTTAAGATTAAGCTACCAAGTTCTATTCATGCTCGCCCTTGGAATCCTCTGTTCTCTGCACCTGGGGCTTCTATACAAGATGCAAAACAATGGCAGGTGTACACTGGTGATTCACAGGGTTGCATTTGCCTTCATCTATGTCTTGTCGAAAGCGCCATAGACATAGCTCGCAACCTATTTGTTATCTCACTGAATGATGGCCGAGATTCAGGATCGGGTGACCAACAATGTTCCATCAGCTTCCTCCATTCAGGCTCACAAAGTTCTGGAATGGGAGGCCGGAGAGTGTTCTTCACAATTCCACCTTATAATTCAATGAACCAAACCACAAACAAAAATAGTATAAAGCTACACATATTCCTTAATCTTTCGAGCATGTTTAGAAAATGAAAAGACAATTGCCACGAGAGAGACCAAGTCACAATGAAGATAGGAGGTATAGGAACTGAATATCATGCTTGGGTTGATCAAGTTGCTTGTTTCATGCATGAATGGGTTAAGGAAGATATTTAACGATCTCTTGTAGCCAAAGTGCACTTGAATATTGTTGAAATCAAGATGTGTTGATGAACCAGGCACACAAAAGGTGGAAAAAAAACCTTGTATCTTTTACGATTCAAAATTTCTGACATAACTATGTCATCTACATGTCCATGCAACAATAAAAATTTCATTTTGGGAAAAATTATCATAGTGAGTTGTGAGTTGATAATGTAGACTCTCAGTTCCAACCCCATGTGGAACCTTGTCTGTGCTGTAAAGTAATATCCAACCCTCACCCCACATCCCAAATCAGCAGTCATTCAAACCAAACTAGTTTGTAGCGGGTAGTGGCCCAGACTAAAGATAAATTTTTTTTTTTTAAGAAAAAATCACTACCCACCAACAGCTTCTCCATCTCCATCAGACACAACTTTGAGTCAGTTTTTAACACGTCCTCACAAATAGTGCAGTGCAGGTCAATTCCACTTCATTGGAATTAGGAAGGATCCGATTCCACATAACAAAACATAGCCTTCTAACCACCCATTTGTATAAAGATGTCAACAATAAGAAAACAAAGGGATTTTGGTAGAAGACGTACTTAGAAATGATGCATAAAAATACTGTAAGCAAAATAATACCATGTAATGCTAATAACATCTGTAAATTGAAGAATGATGCATACAAACAAAAAAATGCGTTAAAAATATTACCAAGATGTGATTAAAAAGTAATTGAAAGATCTCCATCACATTTCTCATGCTTGTCCTTGGTTAAAAGGACGGTCATTGTTCTTGAAATACTCTTATTTACTTTTTTTGAAAATAGACAAGCATCTTTTATTAATATATGCAAATAATCCATAAAATTATAAATTCTGAAAAAGGTTAAGCAAAAAAATCACCTTCCATATAACCTTTTAATTAATCTATAAATAAAACATTCAATAATATAAAATACAGTTTATAACAAAAGAAGAATGGAACAGTTCAATCCATTGCGCATTCATTTGTTATCGTATAATGTTTATTTAATTCCAGTATGTAACAGCAAGCAAAAAATGACCTAAAATGTTACCAACCAATTCTTGAATAAATAAATGAGCAAATTCCGAAGGGAAAGTGTTGTGCCATCTCCATCCACCATGTGTAAATTTCCACATAAATAAGTACAAGGTTAACAATATATACTTACCAATGATTGCACCACAATGCATATCTGCATAAGGCTCCTCTCCGGTCAAGATCTCCCACAATGAAATGCCAAACGAGTAAACATCAACCTATCAAACCAAATACCATGTTATTGATTGCTTTACCAGATCAATTCATTCCTTTATATTGGCAATAAATACGAGGATATGAATCAATTAACCTTCTCGGAGACCTGGTTGCTGCTTCCATTCAACAACTCTGGTGCCATCCAGGGAAGGGTTCCTCGCACCCCACCAGATACAAGGGTATTGCGCTTAATTCTTGATAATCCAAAATCTCCAACCTTAGAAATGAAAAGTAAGAAGTGTGAAAAATCATATCTTTAATCCAAAAATTCAAGCAAAGATCGTGATATCAGAAGTGATTTGGGGCAGGAATTTCCCAGAAATTCATCATTTTACTCGGATTGAATTTGAAATTCTTTTTGGGTCTTTCATAGTCCTTAGCAACACATAAAGCACCTAAAATACTATAATCTGGTAATCAAGAGTGTTTATCTCGATCCTTGTATTGCATGAAACAGCAAATTAATTTGGACTGTTTACCTTGCATATGGGTCGTTGGGGATCCCTTAGATTGACAAGCAAATTGTCACACTTCAAATCAAAATGGACAATATTTTTTGAGTGCAAGTATTCCATGCCAAAAGCAGCATCCATGGCAATTATAAGCTTTTTACGACAATCAAGTGATCTGCACAAAAAATACAAGGCTCCAATTTATTCTGACTCATGAAAACTAATGATACGTAGCAAACAAGTGGAGGCTGAAATACCTATCCTTCTTGAGCAGGACATGCCTAAGAGACCCATTGACCATAAATTCAGTTATAGTTGCCAAGGTTCCTCCTATTCCATCAGGAACCACCCCGTAAAATGCAACCACATTTGGATGATGAAGATTTGAGAGGATCTGTGCTTCTCTCCAGAAGTCCTTTGTCTGGTACCACCAAAAAAACCACCATCATCAAGTTACAATGACCAGTAACAAGATTGTTCAAATTTGTCCAGAGAATACTATTTCCAAATGGTATGAGAATTAAACCATGGGGTGCGGCATAATGGTCACTCCCTTCCCAAAGTGGAGAGGTCTCAGGTTCAAATATGAAATTCTACATGCCCAGTTGCAAGTGGAGGCATAACTTTCCCCTCTAACTACCAACTCTCATGATTGTAAAATCGAGATTTGACTTGTGATTTGGAAAGCCCATTTTTTGGGATTGTGAATCGTAACTTTCAGTAACAAATGAAAATAACATTATGAAAGATAAATAGCATACTACATATTTTTTTAAAAAAAGGAAAAAATATCACAAAATAAAATGTGCATCGATTCATTCAATTTATTACACTTCAAAAGTCTCAAAGTTCGACATATTGTTCACTGTTACTTGAATAGTTTAAAAACTCAATAACTTGTAATATATTCAAAAGCTATCTTCTAACTAGTTAAGCTACCAGGTCTCCTAGGTTTCGTAAAAGTCATAACCTTCCCCAATGTTCATACCACCTTTGTCATTCTTGTTGTCTTTGGCACTCTTGCTCTCTTTCACCCTTTTCTTTCTATGTGAAAATATAATTTATAATTTATTTCAATTTTTCAAGTAGGGATGACAATGGATTGGGTCGAGCCAGGGTTTTGATGCACCTACACAACCTGGAATACTAGCACCCTCCAACAGCATCCGATCCAATCAGGTCGGATGAAGCACTAATTCCACCAGGCAGGTACCTGACCCAATCTGTTTTTTTTTTTTTTCCCCAAAAACATACAAAATCAGATCTTTTAAATTTATCTTTAAATTTTGTGCAGAACCTCGCAAAATCACATCCTAAAAAATTATTGCAAAGAATCTCACATCAATAACTTTATTTTTTTAATTAACATTTAATAACTTTATTTGTGACTATTATGGTTAAAGAAATCTTGGAAATCATATATATAGTATTGAATTATGTGTTTGTTATTTTTTAATTTGACTTGCATCATGTAGTTAAAAAAAATACATCAACTACCTAACTTATATCATATCCCACTTACTTTTTGATAGAGAGATATCATATATATTAATAAGAGACTAAAATACTAATTTTACATATTCTTAATTGATAATAATATTGTCATATATTCATAATTAAATTTCGATTATAAAGTAAATTTAGAAACTTAGATTGATTTTTATGGGATTGTAATAATAGTTATATATATTAAAAATATTAAAGAAAATGATTTTTGTTATTTATGAAGTAAAACTTAGTTAAAAAGGAAAGGTTGGATAATTAGGCTTATTTTGTAGAGTTTATAATAACTATATATATTGACCGACAAAAAAAAAAAAAAAGGAAAAATACTTGGGTCGGCTGGACCCTACTGCCCCTGCACCCGACCTGATTTGACCCAAGTCAGAGGGGGTAAAAACCCAACCTAACCAGGTTAGGAGACACCGGGTGGGTCGGTTGAAATTGCCATCTCTAGTTTCAAGTAGAAATATTTGTCAAAAAAAAAAAAAAATCGTTTATACAATGTTGTCATCCATGACTTCTAGACTTAGCATTCCTATTCTTACTCTCTCTTGTAAAATTATGCATTCTACTTTCAAGTTTTTATTTTAGTTCACACATAAAATTCAATGAACCATAACAATTTGAATTGAATCGTGATTGAATGGCAAGAATCATATACACCTGCAATTCAACCCCACGACTGACATCGTTGTACGTTTGTCGAGACACATCATATGATTCAAATTGTGTATTATAAGACTAACAAGCATTCTAACTCTAACAACTGACTATGTTGGCTTGGCAAACAAAAACGTATGAGGATTTAGCTAACGAGAGACTAAACAGGAAATTCATATTCTAACGTACCAGGATTTAGCTAATTTTATGTGATTACTTAAAACACCTGAGCCATTCAGTCACGATTCAATTCAAATCGTTAGTTTCTCCACACCTTGACTTTACTTTGTCTTGATTGAAAACAAGGACAATAAAACAGTAACGACTCATATTAATTAAATACCAGATGGCGCAACCCTCTCCACAAGTCCCCATCTCTACTTGGTTATTTCTGTTCCAAACACTCTCCGATTACTTTGCATCAACACAAAGTTATTTAACAACTCTACCTTGAAAAGTGAAAAAACTACCTCTAACAATAAAACAAATTAGAAATCTTCATTGGAACAAAGGAGTAGAAAGAACAATGGTAGAGCAAACATAATATAGGATAACTGAAGAATAGAAGAGCAAAAATCGAGAGTACTCAAGGAGAATAACCAGGTCAACCAGTTGATCTCCTTAAGAAGATTCTTGAAGTTTAGCTGGCAAGACAACTGCATTGTGGCTCTTGAGCTGATGCAATTGTTTATATCTTATAATGAATTGTACATCTGAAACTTTGACTCGAACTAGTATATCATGTAAATTATTGCTAAGAATATTCTGAAACACAGTGCTAGCCAAACAGGAAAAGGTTCAATTTTGCCACACATTATTATTGAAGAAGCTAAAAAACATACAAAAGGGGGCATCTAGAAGTAAATGCATAAGAGAAACCCACCAACCGTTCTTGCTCTGATGATCTCCCTGCAAAACAGCTCTTTTTTATTCTTTTTATAGCAACATCTGTTCCCCGCCATTTTCCATGATAGACAGTTCCATATGTACCAGATCCTAATTCTCGTAGCTCTTCGAGATCAGCATTTTTTATAATCTGTACATTGGCATTTGAAAACTTCACTTGCAAAACTAATGAACCAGAAAACCATGTGCAAACTTCCCCTACTCGAGTGAAGACAAGGAATTTATATATTTGAACCTCTGCTCTTGTTTTTGTTTTCTTCTTTTTGGGTAATAACTGTTGTTTCTTTGGAGGTGTGGAAGAGGTCAACTCATTTAATTTGTGAATGGTTGAGAATATTCTAATCACATGGAAATTGCTTGGGCATTTTAGGTAATTGTAACATTAATGTAAAGTCAAGGTAGAACAAATTTAACTGCAAAACACCATGCATCAACAGTAGAAAAGAATAAGAAAAAAACACATGCAAACTATATGCTGGCAGTCAGAGAAGAGCTCAAGGCAGCAAATCAATTGTTCCAAGCATGAGACGGATAATAACTCTGAAGCAAAAATAAGTTCTAAAAGAAACTCATGATCAATATCAGTCATTTTATGATTTTAGGGTCTCCAACCTGCAAACCATAGATGCTTGCTTCCATTTCAGCTATCATTGAATCACTAATTGATTCATCTCTATCTCCATCATCAGCTTGTATATTCTACAAAGAAACAAAGCTGCAACCATTAAATCCAAAATAAATAAAAACTCAATAATGTGAATTAAAGCAAGCTTACCTCAAAATCGGATTCTGAGGCTACACTGTCCAACTCTGGTGAAGTAGGTGATGTAAATTTACTGCAGGTTGGATCAGCAATATCAGGGCGAACACATGCGATGACCTCGTCCAACTCTTTTACAGCAAGAGATATAAAATCACTGCTGTTAGAATCAGCAACATGTGGCAAGATTTTTTCAGACTCGATTACCATAGATATACCATTATGGCCAGTTGGATCAGAAACATGTGCAACAACCTCAAGTGAAGATTGAATGCTTTGAGCTACATTATCAGTCCCATCTTCCACAATAACCAATGGCTCCGGCTGATTTTGATCTGTACTTTTACTTTTAATTTGGATTTTTGGTTGGGCCAGCATGATGTCCATAACATCTGAATTCCTGTAAGCAGATCCTGTGAAGTCCACATTCTCAATCTTCTCAGGGTAAGCTCCATGGTCATCATCCAAGAGAAAAACGTGCATTTCATTAGCAGTATCATTGGTGGTATCACAATCTGCAGCATGGAGGTTATTCTCATGCAAGTTTGCATTTGAAGCAGCTTCACCAAAAACAGCAGATGGGTAGTTTTTTGGAAAGCTCATTAGCATCGCTTCTTTGTTACTGATGCCAATTTGAGTTTCAAGAGGCTGAACTTGTGCAAGTTCAAGGACAATTGGGCCATTCAATGACCCAGGTATAAGATCGACCTGAAAATTTTTGTTACCAGGGTGCTGTGTGGCATTTTGAAACAACTCACTGCCTTCTGGATTCCTGGTCCATGGAATGCCACTTCCTTGGTCGCCATTCATTTTTCCACTCAAAGTGCAGTATTGATTATTGGCAATCCTCTGGTCCATCGCAGGGATATCTGAAGATGTTTTTTCCAGTTGATTAATCTGCGAAAGCTCCATCAAGTTTTTTATAAAAGGATTGAAACCAATGGCTGAAGATGCAGGAACCCTGTCTGCATATACTTGGACCCTTTGTGCTGGATTATCAATGTCAGAAAATATTGTGTTACAGTTGACATTAGGCAATTTGTTCCTGTATTCTATCCTGGCAACAGGTGATTTCTCTTCATGAGGCTTTTCAAATTGATACGAAAATTGATCACCAGTGTCGATTCTATTTGTTGTTTCCAAAGCCCATGAAGTTTCCTCACAATGGTTTGGAATATGGCATTTGTCCTCCATGTTGGTAGCAGCATTCTGAATAGTTTGATTCCTGCCAGTTGTTTCTGAATATGGAGAAAAATTCAGGAAATCCGTCCTACTTTGCGAGCCAGTAGGTTCTATATCCAGTAACTTACTTTCTACCTGAGGATTGGCAAAATTGGTATTCCCTTGCAGTTGAATGGGCTTTGCTTGTGAAGCACTTGAAATTAGCATTGAAGATGATTGTGTCTTGGCAAAGTTCAAGGGTGATAACGGGCTCATTCCCTCTTGTGAACAGCAGGCAGACATCCCTCCAAGCTCTTGCAGCTTCGAATCAGAAAATGCATGAGGCATTCCATGGTGTGAATCAACGGAGTCAATAGATCCTGATGACATACCCAGAGGATCATTAGTGCTTGCGATAGGCTTCTCTGAGAGGAATGCCCTTTCGCTAAGCACAGGTCTCTTGAAAGAAGGGCCATCAAAATTGTCATCATTTGGATAAATAACTGCAGGGGACACAAGTTCTTTGCTAAGATTATGATTGTGATGCTGGTCTGGCTGTCCAACATCAACCTGTTTGGACAGTTGGTGATTACTCATCAAAATTACTGGCCGCTCCATGGGTTGTTTGTAACCAGCAGTGTCGGTGCTGCAGCTCACAAGCGGTAATTGAGCAGTAACTAAGGAGCTACTGCTCTCAATACTGGAGCTATTACCATGCAACTGTTCATGAGCAGTCCGGGAATCTCCATGCTGTAATGGAATTGGAGAAATTGGAGGAGATATATGAGGAGATCTGATTATATTCTGGGATTCATTTGAAAACTGAGTAGGGTGAAAAGCATTAGAAAAACCCTTAGTTTCCAAAGGAAGTAAGGAACATGGTACCTGCTTGTGGAAGCTCAGACCATGATCCCAGCTGATTACAGGTTGACTTGCTTCACTTTCCATACCCTGTCGACCAAAGTTTTTCCTAGGACTAGGATCTAAGATGCCATTGACAGCAACAACATAATGGTAGTCGGGGTTGGTCTGCTGGATAGCAGTTTCCTCAAAAGATGATGATCTTTCAGATTCACCAAAAGGAATTAAAAACATTCGAAGCCTTTGGGAACCCTTAAGCCTCTCAAGTCCATGGTATTCCTCAATCATATTCTGAAGGTCTTCATTGGACGAAACTGATATAAGAGCATCGAGATCCTCACCTGGAAGCTGGTATTTGATGGAGTGAGGTTGATCACAAATCCCTGAAGTTTTCTTCACAAGTTCTTCCCATGAGAGATTTTTACTGATGGAGACAATGCGGGTCTCTCCCCCAACATATCTGAGCTTCCCATCACTTGGCCTCGGCAAAATTTTCCCCCCAAAACTGCAGAGGAGCTTCATCTTTCCAGAGGGAGATCTACCTAAAACATTTGGCCCATTAAAGTTACTGGAATGAGATGATTCTAATGCACAACTGGGCAAAGCAGTCTGAACCAAACCACCTCCCCAATCACAATTCAATTCAGCAAAAGCCTTCCTTGATCTTTGTTCAGTATCAACATCTTCTGTGTTACATCTGCTTAACTTATCAACATATGCCCCATTTTCAGTCTCGTTTAAAGAACCTTTTGCAGATGCAAAGTCAGAAACATCAGAAGCACACTCAGAATCCATTCTCCTTAACCCAAGAATATGAGCAATATCCTGATACCTTATCTGATGATTTTGATCATTATCATGTCCAACTCTCTTTTCACTAACCTGAACTGTACTAGGCATTGGGAGAATCCCTCTGGTGGCTACACGATCCTGGAGAAACTCCATCGAGAATTCCTCACTGATCTGGATGGATTCATTATGTGCCTTTTCTCCTGCAGTATTGACAATCCATTGAAAAGATGGAGTAGGTGCCTCCGTGGTCATTGAATCAGATAAGTTGTTAAAGCTATTTATATACATAATAACAACATGAAGAACCAGAACGTTACCTACACATAAAGGATGGAAGTCGCACCGTAGTAATAGATGATCCAAAAAATAAAAAATAAAAAATAAATTTACCTCAGTAGAATAATAAATGGCTATCAAAGCACCCTAGCTTCGAAGTGACTGCAGGCTGCAGGACGGCCTATCTCGCAATCCCAAACAAACCCAACAAATTTATAGACAAAACGAAGAAAGACGAAAGAATAACCATCATAAAATAGCTCCAAAATACCGAAACGAACAAATCAATTCATCTGTAATCAATTAAAACGCCGCCATCGTTCTAATCCATGTACATCACACCCACCACATTACGTTTATAAGCTCATAAATATCGCAGATCGACAGGTCAAAGATATACTATACGAAAATCAAGTGGAAATCGCACCATCTTCTATAAACATTAAAAAAACCTGAAAAACCAAAACCAACAAAATAGTACAAAAAGCCGAGCAAAACTTCCATCAGAATTTAACTGACTTAAAATATAAAATTAAGAAATTAAGTTGATCATCGGAAGCATACAACCTACCTACTTACTATTGCGAAGAAAAATCGGATCGGATTTGTGAATTTTTATTTTGTGTTTTTGGATTTGATAGAAGGTAAAATGAAGAAGAGGAGAGAGCAGCGCGGCTTACGCTTCCAGGATCAATATCCCTCGCTCGGGCATGGGAGAGCGACATTGCCGAGAATTAAGCGGCATCTCTTTTGGTCCTTTTCCTTTCATTTTCTCAATTTTTTTTAACTGTTACCAGAAATAACTGTTTCTTTATAATTCTTATATTATTTGGTTTTCTGTGCATTGAATGATTTATTCAAGTATCCCATGCTTTGATTTGATCTCAGATTCTATGATCTCATGGACTCGTGGTTACAAGAAAATTAGCAATTAACGACGGAATTTAAGGAAAGATTTATTTTCGTCATCATTTAACTATTGATTAGTGATCAAGCAGTGATGAAATAAAAAAATGAATCATTTAGTTATGGGTAAGTGACGGTTTTATGATAAAAAATTAACGATATAATATTTTCTATCGCTATTAAGTGCGGTAAAAATTCATGCCAAATTCAATGATGGAATTGTGACGGACCAACGAGGGACTTTAGTCATGGAACACAAATTCTATCACTATATGCAACGTTGTCCAAACGATGGAATAGCGACGAATCTTTTTTCATTGGTAATTGTGTAAATTTGTAGAAATTTTTAAACAAAATTAGCGGTGGGAGAAAATTCAAGGTTTTTTATGACAACTCAAGGTTTATAAGAAAAGATGTGGCAATACTTAATTTTTTAGAGAGAAAAATTTTCTCTCTTTTCTTTTTCGATTGCCATGTTTGCGTATTGGTTCATTCTCACTTTGCCTCTCTCCACTTTATTTATATAAAGAGGGTAGTATCCTTTTCTTTCGAGGATAAAGAGTTATAACATATGTGGGCTTGTTTGATCTTATCCTTGTAAAACCTCACCCTATTTAGTAGGGCTCAAGTTTATTCTCCCATCAAAATATCTTACGGACTTTTAAATTAAGCTCGTTAGTCCAAACTCTTTTGGTCCTACAAATTTATTTGGATTATCTAAATAAATTGGGTTATATATTTTTAGAAAGCCTACATTAGGAAATAATTTTCAAATTATCCTTAAACCTAAATTAAGAAACTAATTTCATTTTTAGGTAACTTACTTTCAAATTTGGATCTAACTTTCAAATTAGAAAAATAGTTTTTAAAATAAGAAATTTTTCATTTTAAGAAACTTTTTCCACAATAAGAAAATTTTCAAAACTCGAAAACTTTTTTTAAAACAAGAAACTTTCTTTTTTTGGAAACTTTTTTCAAAATAGAAAACTTTAAAAGCCGAAAACTTTTTCCAAAACCTTTGCTTCTCTTTTATTATGTGAATGTCTAAACTTATGTGTATGATTCAATAAACTCCTAGATATGTTGACAATGTATAAAAAACAAAAAACACATCTTTTATCTCTTGATATATAAATCAAGATTAGCCTTTAGTAAGACATCATGACTACTTAATTCTCTAGGAGGATTAATTCATCCGTAATTACCTTTTATGAGCATGGTTACCATACAATTCGATCATCATGTTAATTTATCACAATGTGATTTTGAACTTAGTTTAAAGTTTATTCGATTATGATTACATAAGTTTTCTTCAATTCCTAAATGTCTTAGCTCTAGAGTAAACCAATGATGCTCTATTGGTATACTCTCACCGTGGCTATAAATTCCTCGAGCAAACACTATCGAAGTACAATGTGATAATTCTTTTTGCATATAAGGAATGTCATATCCTATCTTAGTCATCCATTTATCTCTATTAAATTCCTAATGTATATAATGAATCGCATATATACGACTCTTGAATGAGCCTATCGAAACAACTAAAGCTAATGGGTTTTCATGGAAAGTTATGTTTAATGATATATTCTCTAACATTAATCACCTAAGTGCTTGCTTTGCCATCACTATGTCAATAGGTGTGAGATCTCCTACTGCTATATGATAGCATGAGCATAGCACTTACAAGTCCTATTGCATATACTTAATGTTCATTACGTACAATGCTATGACTTGGGACATTTAACGATATCATTTACATGCATCAATGTTCGTCTCACATCAATTGATAAATCATTAATGCAATATATATCATATGAACTTCTATCTAATTCTATCAAAATATAAATGATAAGAATTAATAGAAAAAATTCTTTTATTAATAAATAAATAAAAAACATTACAACATATCAAACCATCCAAACATAGTTGAATCTTGTACATATATACTAACAAGCATGTCTCTAATGGAGTCACTAAACTATTAACGAAGGCTTAAAGTCAAGCGAGTCACCACCTAGCTACGTAAACTAGTCCGCATAAATATCTAAATAAAGAGTTAGTTAAGTATGAGGAAAATTAACATCACTACCATTCCGTTCTACTTGAGATAAGTTGTATTGTATGCAAGTGAAAACTAAAACCCGATCTTAATATGTTATGAATTATGCTTACTTGAGTGAATTTATTTTATTAGGATAAAATAATTCAGTAATTTTGGGTTTTTTCGATTAAATACCTTTACCCATATTCTTAAGATAGAAGGAAATAGGGTTGAATTTTTGGCTTGTCCCTAGTAACTCGTAAACTCGTATCAACAAATAAACGAATCTATAGGGATTAAGAGTCCATAGTGACATAAATAGGGAGCCACCGATGACTTCATCCATACAAATAGAAAGTCAATGACAATTTTGATTCACATAATTAGAGAGATAAAGGATCATCGGTAACTTCATTCATATAAATGGGAAGCCATCGATAACTAATTTATAAAAAACATAAAATCTTTCAAATGAAATGAAAAAGTTGAGTCCCTTATGATTACAACCCATATAAAAAATTATTTAAATAAAATAAAAAATAGTAAGTTCCTTAAGACTCCAAACAATATTAGAAATCATTATAATAAAATAAAAATAGTGAGTCCTTTACAACTATAGCCAATATCGAAATCATTCATATAAAATAAAAATGTTAAGTCCCTTACGACTTCTACCCATATCGAAATTAGTCACGTAAAATAAAAATAAAAGTATCTTATGACTATAGCCCATATCATAAATCATTCACATAAAGTAAAAATGGTAATTCCTTTACGATTACAACCTATATAAAAAATCATTCACATAAACTAAAAAAAGGGCAAGTATCTTGTAACTACAGATCCATATAATAAATCATTCGGAAAAAATAAAAATAGTGAGTCCCTTGTGCTTGCAGCTCATATCATAAATCATTTACATAAAATAAAAATAGCAAAGCCCCTTACAAATGCGACCAATATAATAAATCATTCATTTAAAAGAGACTTGTAGAGTCTCTTGCAACTGCAGATCTATATCATAAATCATTCATATAAAATAAAAATGTTGAGTCCTATATGACTACAACCTATATAATAAATTGTTCAAATAAATAGAAATAACGAGTCCCTTACGATTGCAGACCCATATCATAAATCATTCAAATAAAATAAAAATGGTAAGTCTATTGTGACTATAACCTATATCATAAATCATTCACATAAAATAAAAATATAGAGCCCTTTGTAATTATAACCCATATCATAAATTATTCACGTATCATAAATCATTTACATAAAATAAAAGTGATGAGTCCTTTACGACCGCAACCTATATCATAAATCATTAAAATAACATAAAAACCATAGATAACTTCTTCCATATGAATGGAAAGCTATCAATGGCTTCCATTCAATGAACAACAAATCATTTATATCATGCATTGAACATGAACATCACGTAATTAAAATATCACAATCGAGCATGCTCAATCAATCATGTCCTCTAAAATAAACCCAAAATCATTTTTAAGTACAACTACCGAGACCAGCACTCATCTTGGATAAATTATTAAAATTAAATCTCATTCTCATCCTCCCGAGCTCCATCATAAAACGTTAATCAATCAACCTTTTCGGGTTCGATACATAATGCTATATCCGAACACACTTCAAGTCTCATATACATCATAATATCGCATTCATTAACAATTTCAATCCAAATATTTGAATTTATCAAGATTATAAATGTGAGACAATGATGTTGGTTAAAATAACCAAGAAGTTTATCAAAGCGTATCAAAAGTGTATTTTAATTCAATGATGGATTTTCCCTTCTTTAACTATTCATTGGAAAGAACTTATATTTCCAATTGAAGGGATATATGGTTAGATAAATCAAATTATGATTCCTTCTTCACTTACCTTGGTTACTTTTTCAATCTTTGATGGAAAAAAATTATATTATCAATCGGAGAAGAAAGGTTAGTCGAGAAAGGGATCATTGTAAGGCTGATTTTTGGGCTAAAAATTTAAAAATCTATTGTTTGCAATTTCTAAAAAATGAACTGTCATGGAGGAGTTGATGTCCGTGGATAGAAGGAGTTATTGTCATGGGATGAGGTTGTCTTGCACTATTGTCTATAATAGTATCTTCTAGATTGAGATAAGAGAATATAGAGGCTTCTTTTGGCTTTAAGCTCTTCATAATATTATAGGTTTGGATGTATTATTTTTGTATTATTTTATATCATCACAATTCAATGTGTATAACTTCATATATGTGTCAAACACTAGGTAGTGTTTTGGATTATCACGAGATTCAAATTTCGATCGGATTTAGCACTTGTCTCGATAGCCCAATTCATAATATATTTCTACATTTTTATTCAATTTATAAATCTTAATACTTTTACTTCGAACTCTAAGAAGGTCTCTTTTCTTTTATAGACCTCTAAGAAGGTGAAATCCCTTTATCTTCCTTTAAAGGTTAATTAACCATCCATGGAAATACGGATTTGGCTTGATTAGTGAGTTTTGTTTCTAGAAAAGACTATTAAAAGAGAAAAAAATTACTTTTTAATACTTCTTGAAGAAGAAAGAGTTGTAGCTAGTCATTTTGGGGCAAAATAGAGACTACAACGTTGATAGTAACATTATCAATGATGACTTGCTATCACAACAGATTTGGGTAATCTTTTAGGAAGGTTTCACGAGTAATTTTGAAAGGATTTTCATTGAGTGGGTTTTCAAGGAGGATTTGAGGGAGGTTTTTATGGGTGGAAGTTGGAGGAAGATGGCTAGAAAATGGATAAGCAGTAACGGGTTTTTAGAGGAGAGGA